GCGTTTCTGAAGCCTCGAAAGATGTTTTTTGAAGTTAAAAAAAAAAACGTTCATGCGTGTGTACGTTTTAAAAATAGCAAAACAGCTGTGTAGATGTACAGGCTGTAATTACTGTTCACAAGATAATAGCTGGGAGCTGGGAGCTGGGAGCGAGAGATGAAACGGGCTCTTTAATGATGGATGCCCCACTGACAGACCGAGTGGCTCAGTCTCAATCAGACTCTTTCTAAGACTGTGCAGCCCTGACGGGCGGGATGACCAGGGCCGTGCTCTCTCCCTGCTGTCCTGCCCACCCCTGTGTTTGAGTGAGTGGCCTCAGTTCGGAGCCCGGGACGGGCCCCCTGTCGCCCAGGTGTCACTCGTTTGTCCTGGACCACGATTTCCCGAGAGTGCTTTTGCACAGAGGACGGTACATCATCGGATTCGGGGTGAGGTCACGGTCAGGCAAGGCCCCTTTCTCTTTCACCCTACGGCGTGCCATTCCCGTCAGCCACAGCCACGCGGCTTTCCGGAGGGACAATCCGGCTTTTGCCCACCCTGTGGCGTTCCTGCGCAGGTGTGGAGATGCCACTTGCCATCTCGGGAAGAAGGGGGTGTTCGCAGGCGGCGGGGGTGGTTACACGCATCCCGGGATATCTACTGCGTGTGTTGTGACACCGGATGAGTAGGAACTGAAACGGGACAGTGGGGCGTGTGCCGGGAGCGCATGCGTGTTTTGCCACGTGTTACTTCACGTGTAATCGTTCTGCCCTCACAAACCCTTCTTATAAAGTGATCCAAAAAATGTAGCAAGAAGTTGTTTTCTAATGCTGGCTGATCCCCGCGGGGCTGACTGATAATGGTATTTCGTTTCCCCGCTGTGATCCCGAGCTCCTGGGCCTGTTGTTTCCTGCCTCCGTGATGATGGGAGATAAGGACAATACGCTCTCGGAGGGGATTGGTGGTGGGACAAATCCTACCCCTACTGCACGGCAGCTGGAGCCCTTCCAGGATTTCCCAGATTCGCTCGTATGTTGCAGAGTAAACGAACGCTGCTGTGCAACACCAACGTTTAACTCGCAAAGTATTTTTAGAGCAAGTAGTTCCTCCTGTTCTGGACTCGAGTGTGAAAAGCCTGTACCACTACGTGTCTTCTTCTGAATGGAATGGGTATTTCAAGGTTACCAGCTGTTTGTCATTGCTGCTCTGGATTAATAATAATTATTCTGGAGTCTGTCATCCCCAGCTGCATTTCAAGCTTGTTGACCTCAAGCTCAAAGAAATTGCCCAGTTGGTGTGAATAATACGATAAAAAAATAAAAGCTAATAGGATAAAAATACAATATTGTATTCACATACAGCTCCGTTTCATTAGAAGCCTACAGCAGGTAAAATGGATCACACCTCTGCACACGGGAAGTCTAATCTATGTCCTTGAATAAGGAGAAATTGCTTCTGATATGGGCTGAGCTGGTCTGAGACTGTAATCTAATTACAGTGTTTCAAATATTCAAATGTTTCCAAGTAGAAAATTGTTTCAGGCCTGAATCCTAATATGTATCTATGTCCGTGCCATCAAATCATATGTATCTATATCTTTTTGTTAAGAAACATCTCAGATTCTTCATTTACAATTGTGATTTGCTTAAGGATAAGAGGGAACCAGAGTTACAGATGTACATGCTTTTAAGGTCTGATTCTGGATGAATACTTAAAGCTGTCCTGAGTACGGGCTGAACCTCTTCAAATCGGCTACAGCATTTCCCATTTTGCTAATCCCTTCCTAAAATAACAGCAGATCCATGAAATTTGAACTGAGTTTAAGTGTTCCTGCAATCAGTGTTTCAGGCCAGACGTCTCTTTCTGTCTTGGGGCTGTTTGTAAGGGTGCCCTGTAACTGGCACTTGTTCAGCTTGCTTTGTGTCTGCCTGTGTGCAGCTCCGTGAGGACCGAAGCTGAGGAAACGTGCTCATAAAATTGACTTTTGAGAAAGAGGTGCTGTGAGGATCCCTGAGGGGGTTTTTCACAAGGTGAACTGCCTTATTCTGGCCACTTAATGAAACTTGGCAGTTCGAAAGATCTGGGACCGACAACGGTGTTAAAGGAGAATCCCTGGGATCCTTTAGGAAGTGACTAGACTGGACCCTTGGGAAGAATAAGCTGCAGTCAGCCAGATGGCCTCTTCTCATTTCTAACCTTTCTCATGGTCTCACGTCGAAGTGGACACTGCTGCTGTTCTAGACTGACGGCAAAGTCTTAAGATGTTTTTTGGAAAATCGCAGAATGTCATTTGAGGGAAATTGCCATGTTACAAAAAAGGGACGTTTCCGCTCTAGAAACAGTTAAAAGCACAATAGAAAAGTTAAATTCCTGGGCCGTGGAATGCCTTCCACAGAGAGGGTAAAATATCTCTATCAGCTTGAGCAGGGGGGAAATCAGGAATCACTTCTTTGCACAAAGGGTGGTAGGGGTCTGGAGCAAACTGCCCAGTTATGTTACTGGGATCCCTAGAAGAAATGGCTCAATAACTTGCCATCCACCAGATGAGCTAGACTGGCCACATGGCCTCCTCTGGTTTGAAGCCTGCAGTCTTGCGTCCAGGGGGCTTTGCTCTCGTTTCTGCGTGGCTTTGCTGGGAGACCACAGCGGAAACCGACTTTCTTGAGCCAGTCGCACCTCTTCTGATCGGGACACCGCCGGACAGCGATGCTTGGAGGGACTTATTCCAGGCGCACCGAAGCTGTTCTATTGTGTCGGAACAATTCGCTGCCCCAGTGCAGTGATTACAGATCCCACCGCTGCCCTTTCGCGCAGTGATAGTTTTTTCCATCGTTAATGTGTCTCCAGCTCTGCCAGATTTCCCCGGGTTTTGTGCGTCAGGCTTCTGCCTCAGAGCCGGGTGTGGGGGCTGCATTGTTTAAACATTTTAGAGTGCCCCCCCCCCCCTCCTGCCTCTGTCTTCTCTCTCTTCTCTTTCCAACAATGGCCTATTCTCATGTTGTCCCGAGCAAGCGGGACACACCCTTGCCCAGACGGGACCTTTTCATATTTTGGGAGGCGTCCAAAAAAAGTGGGACAGTGCTCCGTTTTTTCAGGCCGGATCGGGCGCAGAAATCCAACACAGATCTTCCCCTGTGACCCCCCTCTCCTCTTTTAGCCTTTCGCGGTGTTAGAGGAAGATTTTCAGATCCCAGCAGCCGGGCTTGGACTGTCCCCACAAGCAGGGTGCATCAGTGCTCCTTTGCATACAATTAAGGCACCTCGACTTTCTCTGGAGGGGATGGTGTCTCTCTCTCTCGCCAAGCTGTCGGTGTGAGTGTACAGTAACAGTGGACACTCTGAGCAGCCGTTGCAATCTGTTTCCAGTGTCCGTTGTCTGTCGTCCTCCCTCGTGCTCGGTGGCTCTGTCTCGGGCTCAGCGCAGTGCTGGACACGCCCGCACCCAGTTCAGTTAAGTCACCCTCTGCCTCTCTCAGAGGTGCGTTCTTCTCTCTTCCTTGGGCTCATTGCTCTGCTTGTCTGTGTGTCCTGTGGGTTTTATCGGCCCGTCTGTTTCTCGCTCTCAGCCATAGAATACTCTTCCAGTACCAGTGTCCTGACAGATTTTATTCATCCCTCCCCTCATCTCCCTCTCTTGTCTTTTCCCCTCTTCCTTGCTGACCTGCCTCGAACTCGGTTACGGGTGGCGATGAGACTCTCCTTGCAGAGCAGTTTGATGCGTTTTGGTTTCGCCGGGCTGGGTTTTAAGTTCCGGTCCGGCAGTGCAAGATCACTGAGCGCCGATCGGTAGATACTGGGTACTGTCCCATCACGGATTCCCGCTCTCACCAGCGAACAGAACTTTCGTGTGTGTGTATGTGTGTGTGTGTGTGTTTCTCCGTTCCCCGTCGGAGCTCGTCGGAGATGAAGGACAATCTTGGCACCCTGTCCTTCCCCCTCTCTCTGTCTCTCCCGCTCCCTTTTCCTTCCAAGGCCAGAAATAGTTTGGCACACAATACTGAAAAAGGTCAGGCAGTAGCTGCCATGGCCTTTAATTACAGGGCCCACAGCCATTCTCTGGTGTGGTCTGGTCTGGTCTGGCTCTGGCCATTGTTGTATATATATCTGTCTGTGCCTCTGTGTGTGAGCGCCATTTACTGTATCTTTTTTATTGTATAAAAGAGGGCCTTTTCTGCGCCTGGAATTTCAGCGGCATTCGCAGTTTTCGTTGAAAGGGCAGCCGTGCCCGGTGCCAGCTGCATGAGATCACGGCTCCGGGTCCCACGCTCCCTCCTGGCGCGGCCCCATTCACATTGCAGAAGAGCTGCAGTCCCACGCACAGGCAATTACGTCCCCCCAGAAAACCATATTATTCAACAACAAGACGGGCCTTCAGAAAGAGATCCGGGGGGGGAGGAAGAAATTGCAAGCGTTGTGGGGGGGGGGGTGGTTTCCATATCCTGGGTTTACTTCCCATGAGCACTAGAAAGCGCTCGGCGCGTGCAGACACTTCTGTTTCTGCTGACCACTGGGCTCCTCCGGCCCACACGCGGGGCCACCCTCGACCCCCGGCCTCAGAGCCTTCTCTGTTTTCTGTCTGACGCTCGCCCCGACTCCAGCCACTGAACCTGCAACACCAACCCCCCCCCCGGCAAGGGAGATGTGCAGTCATCTTCCACGGGGTGCGCTGTCCAGGCCCTCTCTCGCTTACACACACACACACACGCCCCCCCCCCCCCCGGCGCAGACCGCAGGCCTGAGGCCTGGAGGCTTTCTCGCACCGCGAATCCCGCCAACGTGTATGCGCCTTGGGGTGGGAAGAAGAGACTGCCTGACCGCAGGCCTGCTCTGCCCCCACGGGCACGCGCCTCTCTGTAGGAGCTCCAGTGGGTGTTTGCTATTCCTTGTTTTGCCTGGGCTCAGGCCCTGCGTCACTGCACGCAGAGCCAGGCCGTGCCACACCCCTCGGTGTTTGTGCGTGCTCCCTTGTGAGCTTGGTGTTGAGTCACGGGCCTGCACCACATTTGCCACGGGTGTATAACTCAGAGGTCAGACGTGTCATCTGGTTGTCATTTCACTCCCTTCATTTCTTTTGCTTTAATTAGACTGGCCAACTACCCTGGAGAAGTCGTAGCACTTCTGTCCCGGCCTTTTAAATTGTCTGCAAGTCAGCATGAGGACGTCTTGAAGTACAGGGGCAGTAGTTGGGTCTGTTCGCTGCAGGCGTGCGACGGAGAGGAGTGTGATGTGTGGCTCATACATCCCAGCCGGGCTGCTGAGCTTGGAAAGTGATTCACTGCGATGTTTCAGGGAGATCAGCTGTCGAGCTGTCATCTACAGCTCAACACTGAACCAGAGACTTGTCAGGTTTCCCCCTGCCTCCAGAAACACAACGACCTCGGAGCCTTCGATTCCTCGAAATGAGTCTCGCATCCATCGGTTAAAGCTCCGATTGTAATGCCTGGAAAAAAACAGAGTCACAGTATCAAGTGGGAATAGAAATGCTTTAGTGACTGTGCAGTATTAAAGTTCAAACTGCAAGTGGAGAAGCACATCACCTTAATTACAAATGAGAGATTTTTAAGATGCAGCAGAACACCACAGAGCACCGTTTTAAATTCAGAGTGTGCGCGTCCTAAAGCTTTTCAGTTTCTTTATCCACACAGTACGGTCACAAATGCACATAGAAATATCTCACTTGCTCTCCAGTATTAAAGTTCAGATTGCAACTGTAGTAACATGCACTCTGTAGTGCTGCGAAGTTTGCATTGTTCAGGCACACAGCCTGGGTTTGTGAAAACGCATTTTGCATGGCAGGGATAGGAGGGCACAGCAGGGCGCTGCTCAGACTTGTACAGCAGCAGAGGGGAACGATCCTCAGCTGGAAGCCAGCCTGCCGTCAGTCACAGAGGTACTTCCAGGACAGCCATGCGCTACCCGCCCAGTCCTGTCAGAGAAACGCGTGCATCAGGGCTACGACGCAAGCTCACGGTTCGGATTCAAGATCCTGACGGCTCCCAGCTGTCTCAGCTGCTGCTTGAGCTCACCGATCACGGGTTCCAGCTGGGGTGACATCACCGGCCGGCGCTGGCCTGGAGTCCGCAGCTGGTGGCTCCCAGTTGGCTGAAAGCCGCCAAGGGGAGGGTGGGATTGGCTGGCCCGTGACCCCCGTAGCCTCAAGGGTGCTTGCGGACACGTGGTGCCGTCGGTGCTGTCCCTCCACCCCTCCTGTTTCCATCGTCAAGTGGCTCGAGGGTGGTCACTTCTGAGAAGTCCACCTCCACTTCCTCATTCTTCCCCGATGTGTGCAATCATGGGTTCATTGCTGCGAGTACAAAATTCACAGCTAGCTATTCCAATTGGGGTGGTAATAACAAAATAATGAGCAAATCTAATTAGAAATGTAACACTCTAGAGCCCTGTGACTGGGCTGTGTCAGTGTACTGGACTCCACAGGGACCAGAAGAATTTATAGCTTGATTGTCATAATAGATTATGCTTAGAGCATTGTAATTCATAATCATGAAGTAAAGCAAATTCATCTGCATTCCTCCTTAAGCAAACATCACTTAAGACATCAGAGAGACAAATGATATCTGATTAGGGCTTTTGATGGAGAATACGTTTTTTTTATTTTAAAAAGGATGTAAATTAAAGATAGGCTCTCAGATCTGCCCGTTAATCAGAAAACAGAATTCCTTTACTGACGGTTATTTCATGTTTTGTTTTCACGCTTTCCGGTGAAAGATCCCGGAGCAGGGGAGGTGAGAGTTTTAATTAGAACTTGGTCGAATTGTGTGGTCTTTAAACAAGGTTATTAGCAGATGGAATTAGGAGATGTAGCTTTTAATTTAGGGTTTTAAACAGGGAAGAAATGAGCAAGTTCTCCATTAAAAAAACCCTCTCTGATATCGGGCACCCCTTGTTTGATGTGCTTCTCTCTTTGAAGGAAAAACGCAGGGCACTTTCTGAAGAGCTGGATTTGAAGAGCTCTGTGCCTAACTGTGTGCACTAGCAGAGAAAATGGTACGTGTGAGACTTTAAAAACGTTTTTCCATAGACAGGAAGAGAGTATTTGTGTGTGTGTGTGTGGGGGGGGGGTTATTGTGGCTTATTTCCAGCGCAGCCTACAGATCAGGCGTTGGCTTTGTCTTTGAACTCGGCATCGCTGGCTCCCCAGCAGTGCCCTGATCCAGCTGTCTGCCATATTGGTAGTGGTATCCCAACATCCCCTCAAAGAAAACATCACCATCTTTCCTGCTGCCCGGTACGCCCCCCATGATGCACCCTGCTGGCGTGCGGCAAGGCTGTCCAGCGTGGGAACTGGTTTTCTGTGGGAGTGGGAGTGGGCTTTGCCCCCGAAGTGGGGTCTCCAGAACAGTTCCACACAGCTCCAGCCGTCCTCTTACTGCGCAGAGATGTAGGAGCAGCATGCAGCGTGCATGGGGGGGTCAGAGAGAGGGAGACAGGGAGCGAGGCGACATTGCAGTGCTTTTCACAAACTCCATGCTCATGGACTGTAGGAGCCCTTGGCGTGATCACAGGCCTGCGATCTTTTTACCTCCCCCCACCCCTCCTCTTCACCTCATTGTCTGGACAGCTGACAGGTGCGCGGCGCGAGACGATCCAAGGGCCTCGGCCCCTCATTGTGTCCCCGGCGGTGAGAAACCCGCGCGCCGTCTTCCTCCCGGAGAAGCCAGCCACGCTCCGAGGCACACAGTCACAGGCGGTCCTGCGAAGGAGCCTGGAAGACACGCCGTCGGAAAACCGTAGGCGCAAGGTCCCTGATCGTCCAGGCACGCTGTCATACATGCAGTATGGGCCTTTCCGTGTCTGCCTGTACCTGGTCAACTAACTGACAGCTGAAAGAAACACAGTTTGCAGCCTGTACTGCACAGTTACCTGCGGCACACCTTGAAGCCATCTTAAAACTTCTACAGTGGGGTAGTGAAACAATTCAAGAAAATATGTAGGTGAGAGCTCAGGTGGGACAGGAGCAGGAGGATAGTGTGCCCCCCGGAGCTCAGTCAGTCCCCGTCAGGATGTGGGAGTCCTTTTCCACACTGGGCCCTGTCCACACGGGCTTGAAAGGGAGACCCCCAAGGGCCGGCTCCCCTATTTTTCCTACCTGGTGCCTTGATTCTAATCCGATTTCTACATCCCAGACCCATTTCTGTGTCAAGCAATCATCACATTTTTCAGATAGCGGGACTATTTTTTCTTTTTTAATATTGACTAATATTTTGGGATAGCGGACCGGCGCGAGGTTAATGAAACCCGTATTCGCCGCCTTTGGTTCAAAAACAGCTGTAGGAGCTGCTTGCAAGGACGGAATTCAGCTGCTTCGCCTGTAGGTACTGACAGAGCCACGCCGCAGCCTGTGTGGATTCCCGATCCTTGAACGGTAGTGTACAATCGGACTGTGCATGACTTCGTGCTGCTTCTGCAGAAAACACGGCAGCAAGCTGCTGGGCACGGATGGTGTGGAATAAAGGCATGTAGATACAGAGCTGCAGCGACTTCCCCAAGCGTGTGTTCACATGGCCCAGAGAGGCAGCGAACACGGTGCTTTTGGAACTGGGCGGGCGTGCAGTTTCCTCTTATCACAAAGCTTTCATAGGTGTGTGCGGATGCAGAAGCCCGATCCTTAGGAACTATCAGGAAGATAAATTTACATCACCCTGGGCCTCAAATAAAAATGCGGGGGACGCTCATTACCAGCGCCGGGGACACGAATGTTCATCCACGTACGGAAGGCGTATCGATACTCCCCCCCTGTGGATCAGGAATGGAAGTGCAAGACCGTTGAATCTTGAGCACAGGGTGACATCTAGTGACCAGGGGGGTGAAATCGACCTGTTCACCACGGCTCACAGCTGCTGTTTTCGTGTGCAGGTGTTAAACAGCTACCCCACCTCGCCCTTCTGAAAAACAGAACCCTCGACGCCCAGCCGGAGCGTTGCTCGTCAGGGTGTGCGAGACCTGACGGGACTCCGGGCTCCTGCAGCCTGTTATCTGTCCACTAGGGCTCCTCTCAGCCCCTTCCTGCAGAGTGCTTTTTTTTCTTCAGTGAGGCGATTTGAAATCGGACGCAGCGTGCTGCCGTGAGACCGCCAGGTGAGGAAGTGACCTCGCTCTGCGTAGCTGTGTAGCAGCTGCAGGCCCGGCCCCGTCAGCAGGGGCTCATGGCAGCGTGCCACGGCACACGTACAGGGCAAGGATGCCGATGTACGAGCACAGAGCCCGGATTCCTGGCTCTGTGCTCTGTGTGAGGAGCGCACATACGGCAGACAGTGTGAATTGACCGTGAAGGGAAATATGATAGGTCAGCAGGGTGGCGCAGTAGTCCCTGGGGTGCTGTCTGTGTGGAGTCTGTATGTTCTCCCTGTGTTCTCATGGGTTTTGGCCTTGCTCTGTCTGTCTGTCTGTCTGTGTGTGTGTGTGCCCTGTGAGACTGGCGTCCTGTCCAGGGTGTGCCCTGCCTTGTGCCCGTTGCTTGCTGGGATAGGCTCTGGCTCTCCCTCAGTCCTGTCCTGGAACAAGCAGTTGGACAGCAGACGGATGGGAATGCTGCGTTCAGGTTAAACGCTCTAGGGGACAAAGTCAGTGCAATTTTAGATTTGCACACATTAGAGTGAATTTTGGATTTCTGGAATTTGGAATTTCAGATGTCCCACTGCCCCCCGCCCCACAGTACAGTACAGGAGAAAAACACAGAGGACCCAGCGACAAGGAGACAAACACAGAAGGAGATGAAGCAATATTAGCCCTGCGAGCAGGCCGGTCAGGGGTTCGATTCTGTGACTGAGAGCTCAGGAGCGTGTGTCCCGAGCCCCTGGACTGGAAACCCCTGTATCCCGGTATGAGAGTGGCGAGAGAGGAGGTCTGAGGAATGTGTGCACGGAAAGGAAACATCCTCGCTAGTGTTTTCCTTGGCTCAGCAGGAGCGAGCGAGGCAGAAAGCAGTGCCTGCTGGAATATTGACAGATACCGCCTCCCATGAATCAGGCACGGAGCTTGAGCAGGTCGCTGTGCGCGGTGGGCGCCGGGCCTGAAAGGGTCCGGTCATTGTGACGGGCGCGGCGACGCCCGGGAGCGCGCCTGTGACGGTGCCGGCGTTGCTAGGGCGGTTGCCAAAGCAATGGAATAGCGGAACTGCGGGCCGCGCGGAGCTGCAGTGGCGTGTCAGTGCCGCGCGGCGGAGCTCGGGCACGGACGTGTAGTGTTGCGTTTCCTTTCCGACAGAGGAAGGCGGCTCTCTCGCCTCCGTACCGAGAGCGTGTGGTGTCTTTCTGGCCCCCCAGGAACCTGCTTCTTGCGTGCTGTGGGCCACCCGCTCTCCCGGTGGGCTGGGCTCCCACGCATGATCAGAAAATCCTGCGGAGCTTAAGCGTTTAAGCTAAAAAGAGCAGCAGCACACCACTGTCCCCGCAAGCTTAGCGGGTCTGGTGTACTTGCTGCCGTATTTGTTTGGTTTTCGTTTTTTTTTTTAAAAAAGTATAATCCGTCTGTTTTTTTCTGCGGCTGAGTGCGACAGTAACGGTCGCTTCTTCAGGAGCGGGACCTGCTTCAAAGAAGTGAGACAGGCTCCTCACGACACGAGGTAGGACCCCTCTTTAAACTGGACCTTTTTCGGGAGCCGCGGGGGTTTATCTGGGGGGGGTGTTGGTGCTAAAAGCGGGGCTCTGCAGCTCTGCGGTGGGCTGTAGCCCCGGCGCGGCCCGCTAACGGTCCAGTCATCTCTGCGGGCTGGGGCGCCGGGCTCCCCCGCTGACACGCACCGACACGCGTGGGGTGGGCTCGGTAGACGGGTATCGCTAGATTGCGGCTTCGCCGTGTCCCCCCCAATCCTGTTCCGGACAGCCCCCCCCCACCACCACCACCACCACCACGCCCTCGGCCACCGTGCGGTCCCGAGATCCGGCCGGAGTCGGCTCTGCCCTGCGGTATTTCACCGGCGTGTGGATGGGAGACCGCCGGGACGTGCAGACGGCTGCACTGCACCGGACTTGCAGCATGACGGGGCCGCTGAAACGCTCGGCTTTGTGTCTGCCTCGGTCTTTGTCCTTCAGTCAGTCAGTCAGACTACCTGTCTGGTCTTCGTGTCCTCCGCCAGCCTGTCCATCGGTTTGCCTGACAAGAAACCACTCGAACCTCAGCGCTCCCTCTGTCTGGTTATCTGCCACCTTAAATAGCCAGGAGGTGAAACTAGGTAGCAGCCCTGTCACAAAGCCGGATCTTTCAATCAATCAATCAATCAATGATTGATTTCGATCAATCTAGGCCAGGGTGAAACTGAAGCTGTGCGCTCGATTGTTTAGCCTCCTGCGATGAGTATGATCGAAGCGAGACTCGGTAGCCAGTGTTGTGTTTGTACTGAGGAATATTAACTGGAGATGCTCGCTAAGGTCTGTCTGTCCATGGTAGTGAAATGAGGGAGAGACTGAACTGAAACAGTATTACAGGGTAAAACCGCCTTCTGGTGTCCTGCCTGTAAACTGGGAGCCGGTGTAGTTTGAGAAGTAGTTCGAGTAGGTATCTGCGTAGGCTGCCAAGGAACAGGTAAAGGTTTATTCCGCGCTGAATAGAGAAGGAAAGGAAATGCAGTGTTTCGGCTGTGGAGCTTTCTTCCAGGTGTGACTCACCCGCGGCCGAAACGTTGCCTTTCCTTTTTTCTCTTCCCAGCGCGGAACAAACCTGGACTGGTGGCTCGTTTTACGCACCAGCTGCTGCAGGTGTGCGTCTCTCCCGCACGTCCAGGTCGGCGCTTGGCCAGGGGCCTGACTGTCCCTGGTCTTGCAGGAACGTGGCCAGACCAGCCCGTGTCCCGGGACAGCCCGCTCACGAGGGGGGGGGGTTGGGGGCTGTCCCTGCGGCTCGGACGAGCGTGCCAGCGTGGGGGTTCGAGGGGGACAGTCTCGCACTCGCATATAGCCCACCCCACTCCCACACCGCCGTGCGTAGGGTGCTACAGCACGTGAGGTTAAAGCACGTCAGCCGGGCCTCCCCGCAAGGGGGCGGCAGGAAGGCATCGCCCCCGAGAGTGGGCGGGGGATGGAGAGAAGGGTGATCACCAGCCGATGGCAGGCCCGCGCTGTCGAGGCGCCCCGACAGGTGAGGTGCAGCGTCACCGTCCCGGGCCGGGCTCCGGCTGTCATCGAACACTGAGAAAGAAGAAGGAAACGGAGCAGGCCGGTTATTTTTGGGGGGGAGGACCCGTGAAGTGTTCGTTTTATCG